AGGCAATGGTATCTCAGCAATACAGAAGGGAATGTCAGTGGAACTGAAAAAAAACAGGGAATGCTGGGACTTGTAGCCTTTCCATCGGGGTGGTACATTTCCCAGCCCTACAACACATGGACCTCAGTGTTTAATACAGCATGCACTACCTGCCTCGGTTAGTACAGAGTATCTGAGGAAAGCCTACACAGACGCCACGCCAGTGGCATGGTATTTGATAGTCTGGCTCTCCAACCCTCAGCTCAGCGATGCTCCCGTTCCGTTTTGTTGTACCAGTGGATGATTACTCTCACCCTCGACACTGCTCTCCTATTGCTGCCATGTAAGTTTGGATATGTGTTGTACAATAAATTTGGTAAATTTTACTGATCCAGTGGCTTGGCTATTGTCTTTTGCATGTACCACAGACCACCTCCCCCAAATCCCAAGCACTGGGAATTCTAGACTCATGTTCTGTGTCCCTCTGTTTTGTCTCATCACCGATTTGGCCTCAGGTTCCTCCATGTGGTTTGAGCTATCTACCTCGGACCTCCTGCCACCCTTATACTGCTATTTTACTTTAAGGCTTTGGACATTTGAACTCTATATTCAGTAGTTAATTGTGACCGCTTTGATAGTGTATTCTTTCGGCACCTGATATTCTTTTGTGTTTAATACAGCCTGGTTAAATGTTCATAAAACAATTGTTAGGACACAAAAATATAACAATTATTTATATCATTATGGATACAAGTAATTATGTATATCATTATGGATATGTATTGCATCTACAAAAGGTTATGGTGTAGTGTGCCTTTTCTCAAATTTCGATTTTACAGCACTTAACCAGGAGAACACTCCAGAACAAAAATTTAAAATATTGCAGCTTACCACTCCTTAGATGTGGTGGCTACACCAGTTTTGATTCTATCAGTTTTTTCCCTTTATCTTCACCTGATGGTTCTACCAGGAACACACATCCTGTCCTAGGGCAACAACATAGTTTCTATTGAGAAGTAGCACTGTCACCCTAGTGCAGGGCAACACAACATCTTGGCTTCTCCATAACATGGAGGGGAAGTGGGTATTCTGCAGACTACAGCGAGAGCTGGGAGCAATGTTATGTATGGCTGCAAAGCAGGAAGTTACATCTCCACAACTGTGCAGCACAGGTATAGAATATAGGAAGTTACATCTTGCAAGATTTGAGGTAGGATCAACAGAAATTGCTTTAAACTTCTCATACAGATGTAACAAAACAGGTAATAGCAAATTTAACAGACCAAAATGAAGAAAATTAGAGACGATCATTGTTCGGTTTACACAGTATTATTATACAGGATTTATATAGTGCCAACAGTTTGCTCAACGCTTTACAATATAACGGGAGACAATACAGCAACAATACAGTTCAATACAAGAGGGATAGGAGGGCCCTGCTCCTTGGAGCTTACAATCTAGGAGGGAGGGGTTAGTGGTACAAAAGGTAGTAACTGTGGGGGATGGACTGGTTGGAAAAGTAGAAGATTCCATTATTAGCTGAGGGCAGGATAGGCTTCCTTGAAGAGATAGGTTTTCAGAGATCTCCTAAAAGTGAGCAGAGTAGGCGATAGTCTGATAAATTGGGGTAGAGAGTTCCAGAGGATGGAGGAAGCTCTGGAAAAGTCCTGGAGACGAGCATGGGAGGAGGAGACAAAGGAGCTAGAGAGCAGGAGGTCTTGTGAGGGGCGGAGGGGACGGTTTGGGTGATATTTGGAGACAAGATCGTTGATGAATTTGGGGCAGAGTTATAAATGGCTTTATACGTACACACACGTATACACATGATTTAACTATAGAAAACAACACTAAGGGCTCCTTCACACAGCCATTTAGCTGCATACATTGGATTTCTGCAGCAAGAATTAGTAGATTCTTGCCATTGGAATGACAGGTACCCACAAATCGTGACAGCTACTTAGCCTATTTAAGCGAAAAACAGCTGAGTAGCCACACACCACAGGGTTAACTGGGGTTAGGAACAGATGTCTGAGCCTGGACACAGCCCCTAACCACAGGTAACTGCTTGGTGTGCGGCTACATGTGAACTGTGGTGGCCACTGTCAGCCTGTCAATAGCTTATATAGACTGAGCGGCCTCCTCTCTTTGCATGCACCTGTCATTCCAATCGCAAGGATCCAATGATTCTTGCTGATGGAATCTGGTTTATGCAGCTAAATGGTCATGTGTAGGAGGCCTTAAAAAAAACCCCAGTGTAGTCTAAACACTGCCAAACTGAGGAATGGAAATTATGACTAACATTTAAGCAAGGTGTGACACTGACTGAACAATAACATATAAAAAATAGAAATATAGCAATCATTTCTTATAAAACAGGAATCCCGCAGGATAAATACTCAGCTACGACAGTACAAGAGCTTACAAGTCCTCTTTTTGGTGGTTGGTCTTGCGTCTGTACACAGCTTTTCTCTACATACAGTACAGTGTGGAGGTGCTCAGTGAAAGTGAAGGGGTGTCTGATGGGGTCACATACCTCATTAAAAGAAATCTCACCAGCCTCATAATCCAGATACACCCTGAACCTCCTAATGGAAATTTGTGATAGCTGTTCCAGACAAATGTCATGAGATAAGTCATAATTGCTATAAAACCTCATCAAACACAAGGACTTGTTATTAAATGCAATCCACGAAAAAGGTCCTAATCTGTCCATGCTGGAATAGCACATCCCTATCCCCCCACTCATTCTTTTAGAATCTCTACCTCCCAGTAATGTCGCCCTGAGAAAAATGTCCTAGTGCTTAACACCTAAGGAAGCTGCTTGAATCTGTTTGGCAATCATGGGCAAATCTGCTTTTTATGGGTCCAGGATACAGTTTTCATGCCATCTGATATGCACAGATTACATCAAGTAATAGGTTGGCATGTTCTGGTGTACAAATGCAAAGATCTACAACTTTCTTAAAATCAGTCCAACCTGTGTGTAAAACTCCTTCGATCAGAGCACAACCTATATAGCTTCGAACGAGGTGATGAAAACCAAGCTTATGAAAGATCTCTCTGTCCTTTTCCCACTCCAATGCAATTTTTTTTGTCTGTATGTGTGTCAGCAGTTTGGATATGGAAAAATGTCACCAGCACACCGAGGATCACCACTATGGGTCCAAAAGTTTTAATGAACGATCACATAGTTACAGCAAGGCAACGTTTAGGAGTCTCGCAGGACCCCTTCATCAGGCATGTGACTGTGATGAAGGGGTTTTGCCTTGCTGTAACTATGTGATCGTTCATTAAAACTTTTGGACCCATATTGGTGATCCATGGTGTGCTGGTGACATTTTCCCTTGGTGATTCTGTTCGGTTCCAGCTGACAATCACTGCAGCATCCATTTATACACACAGCCATTTTTAACGCAAGAACGTGTGCGTTTGGATTGTACACTTGCAGTCTAGTGATTCAGACATGCCGCACTGCATCTCAAACTGTTGACCCATCCTGGACAGCTTGTCATGCCTTATTTCCAGGTATTGAATCACCTCAATAAATGGACGTACAGCCTGCTCTTCTTGTCTTGATTTCTGGTGATTTCCCTCTGGACTTTATTCTCCAGATCTCTCAATTGTCTCCTGATGTCTTTAAAAACATTAGTCAAGCTCTCGGTTTTAGTAGCTAAGCTTTTCCTTAATCTTTCAAGGTAATCTTGAAGATCCTTTATTAACTCTTCATTTCCCTCCCTTAACTCCTGCATGACCTTTCCAATCCCTTTGCTTTCTAAGGCTCTAGTCAATGGGTCCATCTAATTCCTTCTGTGTTCCTTACTCCAGAAAATCATAAAGGACAGGGTTGTCCATATTAACATAGAAGAGTTTATCCTCATAGACGGTGCATTTGTTGCGCTCTATGGAAAGCATGGTTATATGTTCTGGTAACTTGCACTGAACGCTCAGCTGTTTTAATCAGCTTTCTTGGGAAGACACTACTTAGTAGCAGCAGGTACGGAGTCTGGGTACAAACAGCGGGGCTGATCGCTGTTTCTGATTGTGCTGAGGGAGAGCAGAAACAATCCATTATTTTATGCAGATTTATGTTCCTCTGCAGGCTAGGACGGGGCTGAAATTCCTCTCTGCACTCAGGGCAGAAACAAACTCCTTGTCTTTCCGGTGTATCCAGCACACAAGCTATACAGCATAACAGGATCTGAAAACATCTCCAAAACACATGGAACATTTCAGCTCAGAGATCACATCAACAGAGGCCACTGCTGCTTGGAAGTTAGAGGACAAAAAAAGAGGGAACAACTGGATTCCAACACTCAGAGAAAAACAGGTTGCTACATTTAAACAAGCTCGGTTCCAAGTCACACACACTTAGCTATTTGTACACTGAAGTAAAAATACCAATTATGGTAATGCAGTCACACCATTTAACATGTAGCCTATGATATTAAAATATATTACAACACAGTGTACACAGGAATATACAGGCTGTAAACAGTAACAAGGTTTAAAAAAAAATTACATACATTCATCAGCTCAACTACAATAATGGTAAACTCGGGGGAAATTTTTTGGGGGGTTTTGGGTTCTGTTGGATTTTTATTGCTGCCCTATTTCCGATCACTGTCTGTTCTGTTGACAGAACCACTTTGTGCATTTAGAGCTCGTACACACCATGTGTGCATGAAAACTGATGGGCAATTTCAGTTTACATGTGCGTTTTAGTAAGTTTTTAAGCACGCTGACATCAGTTTTCATGCACGTCAGTTATGTGCCCTGTTCACACCGCAGTATTAGTGTCACATCAGCTTTTTTCTGTACAGAAAACTGCAAACACGTTGCAGATTCCTATGCAGAAACATCTGCACATGATACCAGTGTTGTGATGTGAATAGGGCACATAAAGGACAATTGTTTTTTTTTTTGTGCCCTTGCAGAATGCGTGCTGAAAAACTGACATCTCTGCACACTGGTGTAAACAAAGCCTTACAGTTATACAACACTGTACAAGTGTACAACACTACTCAGCTAAAAAAGATCTCTCTGACAAATTTTAAAGGGTCGTCCTCTTCATCAGATACAGTCTCGGGCAGGGTGGTGTTTGATGAGTTTTTAGGAGGTGACTGTGTCAATTTTGGGCTGCAGGATGCTTCTGGAGGAGTCTGAGGTTTCTTGTCTCCATCTTTGTAGGATTCCACCTTATCCCCTTCTACAGAAGCTTCAGTTTCCGCTTCACTACCCCGATCCTTTTTGCTCTAAAGTAGAATCAAATTATAGTTGGCATAAAGGCAGTGTGGAATTTCTTTTCTAAGTGTCTGGTATTAAACACAGTGAGGGGAATTTATCAAAATTTGAGCAGTCAGAATCTGGAGCAGCTGTACACAGCAATCCATCAGCTTCTATCATATATTTTCAAAGCTTAAAGTGTAAGTAAAGTCTACATATACGACTGCTTAAAACTGTTTCCTCCTTCCTCCTATCCATGCTGTATATTGTTCGTACAAAAAGATGCTTGTAAATACCTTTTTTTTTTAATCCATTCTGGTTCAGTCCCGTGATGCAGAAGCTCCGGCTACCCTGTGTCAAAGAGTGGCAGATACAGAGGAGAGGAAGGACTGCTGACAATGGAGGAGCAATGGAAACTGGTTGCTGATGTCCAAGGGTAGAAGGGGAAGCAGCGTTTTTTAAGAAGTCTTATATGTAGCCTTTACTTTCACTTTAACTGAACAAGTTAAGATATAGAAGCTGACTTATTGCCATGCACAACTACTCCAGATTCTGTCTGCTCCAGTTTTCATAAATTTCCTCCAATGTAGGATTCCCTAAACATCTATAAAGGGTTCTTCATTTTATTTTATTTTTTTTTTTTTTTAAGGACCCTGTTCCTAAACTACTGGTATCAACAACAATCTTCAAATAGGAATATATGACAAATTACTTTTTTCTGCTCATTCAATGTAAATATTGAAGCCATTATAATATTGAACAGGCCTAACGCTGCTGCTGGGCACTACCATCTTAGATGTGACATAAGCAGCCCCCGGTTGACTTAGAGCTGTCACTCAAATGATGCACTGTTATATTTCATCACTAATATTTTTTACGTTTGAGTCTCACTAAACAGCATGTTATTTATATGATGAGAGGTCAGAGAGGCAGAGACAGTAATAGGAGCTCACTCACAGCAGAACACTGAATCATGCCAGCAAAGTCACCCCTTCCACTCTGCAAACATTACAATTAGTTCCTGCTTTTTTTAATTTTTTTTGTGCTACTCTGCTTCTACTGGCACTTCTGTTTTATTATTTTATGGCTGCACAGATAATAAATAGTTCATCTTGACTGAAATCATAAAATTTGCTAAGATGTTGCAGGCTCCTCTTGTCTGCCTTTGTACAGTAGCAGCAAGGAGTGGGACGATAAAGACAGGAAAGGACACTTCCAGGAAATGATCAGATTCCTTCTAAAGGGCAACAACATAGGGAAAAAAAAACTAAAATTATTTTTTAAAGAGTGGTAAACACGAAAGTGCCTTTTATCGTGTACTGCTGCGATGCTTTCATCTCATAAATGAGGTCTGATTTCAGAGCTTCTTTAACCACTTTTTTTACAAAGTGCCCCTTTTTTGCTATTTTTTTTTTATATTTTTCACAATCTACATTTTTTGCTGGAAATTAATTTAAATTATATATTTTCTGAAAGCAGGGGCATTTGCATTTTCTTAATGTCGCACAACAACTGCATCAACTTTTTATCAAATGCATTTTCTTTAGAAAAAAAAGCTAAAATGAATTTGAGTGCAAAAAGAACTTCATACCCAATTTTTATTAAACTATAAAAGATGGTAAATAGATACCAAACATTCCAAATTGCATGCACCCATGAAATGGCAGAAAACTATGGTAAAAAGTTGTCCATAAAAAAAGCATTTTCAACTTATCAGTTTAGAGTTAACCAATAATTATGGCCCTAGGATTGCTGCTCCCACTCTAACATTCAGGATGATACTTCACGTGTGACACAATTTATGTTTACAACTAAAGAGGAAGAGGGTCCTACATGTCACATGACTGGCCAAATGAAATCAGGAACAAAAAGGATAACATTGTGAGGCCTCAAGGAGGTTAGGAGGGTGCAGAGTTCAAGAATGTTTGCTTGCCCTAAAATACCTAGCATTTAATAATACTTAAAGCAGAGTTCCACCGAAAAGTAGAAGCACTGCTTGTTTGCCTCCTCCCCTGCCATATTTGGCACCTTTTGGGGGGAGCAGATACCTGGTTTTGACAGGTACCCGCTCCCATTTACGGCTCAGTTCGCCACGGCAAAGTGAGCTGGAAATTCAGCCCTCCCCCTCCTTCCTCCCACAGTCTCCTGGGAACTTTCAGAGGTCCCAGAAGACTGCTGGACCAATCAGGTTGCGCAGTGCGACTCGCGCATGCGCAGTGGCCACCCGGCTGTGAAGCTGCAAGCTGTCACAGCCGGGTGCCCACAGTTGAGATGCCAGCACCGGGGAGAAAAGAAGGAGAGAAGGGACGGCGTGGGTGAGCACATCGCTGAACCCTGGGACAGGTGAGTGTATGTTTATTAAAAGTCAGCAGCTACAGTTTTTGCAGCTGCTGACTCTTAATAAACACAAAAACAGCTGGAACTCCGCTTTAATACTTTGTCTCTCTAGAAATAACCAAAAGACCACTCGTCACACAGCCTTTGATTAATTCTGCTTTAGTTAAATCTACAATCAGTCACACAGTACGGTAACTAGGTAATTGGCTTTGTATCATTTTAGATCTGCAATAGAAAAAAAAAAAAAAAGCCTTTCAGCCTATTTGCTTCACTCATATGTTACTTTTATTATAAACCATTACCTTGTTTAAAATCTGAAGTGCATAGTCAACCAATTCTTTTTCATTCATACAGTAAACTGTTGACTTTCTGGGAGACCTGGACATACAATACAAAAATAAAATGCAATTAGTTTTTTTTAACCCCTCCTTGCTCCATTGTCACACAAAAAAAAGAACACATCCCTGCCTTTAAAATGACCCTGTCACTAGACCACTCAACCAGAAGCTATCATACGATTATAGGTGCATTTAACATATTTTATACATGTTATCTACAGGGGTTAGACAAAAAAATGGAAACACCACATGATTTGCAGGTGTGAAAGGGACCACATGCTTCTGTGTGACGAGACGCCTAGCTAAACAGATGGGAAGCTTCACTTTCGTCATTCACTGCATGCTCTGCTAGTAATACAGAGTTATGGCAGAGCTTACTGAGCTTCAAAGAGGGCAAATTGTTGGTGCCCGCTTAGTTGGTGCCTCTGTGGCTGAAGTTGTCAATTTATTTGCCGTGTCGCAAGGTACAGTATCAAAGGTTAAAAGGGCATAGTTTCCAAGAAAACATCATCGAATAAGCATTCTCGACAGGGCCAACTGACCGAAAGAGACAAAAAAAACATTGCGCAGGATTGTGATCCAGAATAAAAAAACTGCTGCAAAAGTGACTGCAGAGCTCAATCTCAGTCCCGTGAAGACAAAGCATCTTGTCCCTATGTTGAAGGGGACAAGGGCCTCTTCCCCACAATCCTTGGCAGTGGTTGGTGGGGGTCAGCTGAAGAGTCATCGGCTGTTAAGGATGCAGGCAGTCAACTTGCTGCCTGCTCCTTAACAACCAGCTATACACTGCTAAATGCCGGAAATACGCCGACACAAGAACAGAAAACGCTGGGGAAAACAAATGCTCAAATGAGCATTTTTTTTCCAGCATTTTTCGGGTGTTTTTTTAAAGTTCCTAGTGTGCATGGAGCTTTAAAATATTCATTGTTTCTATGCTTTCACCTGCAATTTGTAAGTTGGTAACAGGGTCACATTAAAGTCAATGCAGGGGGTAAATGTGTGGAAACATGAAGGGTACCTTAAGCCTGCCCAATAATCAAATGGCAAGGATTGAGAGTAGGCTTGAAGACACAACATGTCACTGGCAGTCTGGTAACACAAAAAAAGACTGTGGATTTAATATTACCAGGGGCACAGGCAAACATATTTACCCAAAGGTTTGGAGTTTACCTATACTAAACCATAGCAGCCAATCAAAGAACAGATTTTATTGGTATAACATGTGGCAGCCACAATTTTCTGGCGATAATGAGCTTATAAAATGAGGGCAACAAATAAACAAGCTTTGTTAAATATACTTGGCACAATAACTCCAAGATTGTGCAAACATAGAGTAACATGATGTGCCTGTGTGAACATTCTTTAGAAATGTGTGCTTAGGGTCCCCCGATAACAAGGCTGAGCTGCTGGAAGAGAGTTGGAGCCTCAGAATGACAGGAAAAAGAAAATGATGCATGGCTTGCCAACTGGCTGTATAAATGTCACCTTATTACAACCTAACCTCCTAGAGTTCCCTTAACTGCAGGTGGGGGGGTGATGAGGATTATACAAGAAACATTTCCAATATCGAAGGTACCCTTTAACCACTTCTGTACCAGTCTGTACATATCATCCCCTCATTACCAGGCCAATTTTGTTGTGCTGTGATAGATTGATAATTACAATCATGTAAATTAATTTTATATCTGTTTTTGAGAAGAACAGAGCAATCTTTTGATGACATCTAATAATGACAGCGTTATTAGCTATTTTAGCTATACTTCTTTGAATCAAGAGTGCAGATCTTTCAGCCCTTTTGTGACCCATTTTCAGCTGATCGCGAGCTAAATCACACTGTTGGCCAATGTCACTTGGCCAGTCCAGGCGCTGGAAAGATCTTGACTTCAAAGTTGGGATTCATCCAGATGCCTGGACCAGCCCTTGGCTCAGCCTCTTAGCAAGTATTGAGAACCTGAGCCAGTCTCTCTCGCCCCTCCGCTCCAGTGAGCGCTGGAGGGACAGAGCAGAGTCAGTGACTGACAGTCACCACTCTCTGCTCAGAGTGGAGGGGAGAACTGAGTGATCAGTGGTGTTTTGATTGCTCAGTTTTCACTCTTAGAGCCAGCGGGGGACAGAAGCAGCATGGATCAATGCTTCATCCACCTAGGTGAATATAAATGTTTATTTTTTTTTTCAAACCCATACTTCTATTTTTACTACTGTAGCACTACTAACTTAGGGATTGCTGATGAACTGGGGTCCCCCTATGGTCCCGCACAGCCAGTCACTTAGCATTTCCCACACAAGCTTTCAGCCGTACGCAGAAATCAGTCCTTGAGCGTTTGTTTTGTTATTTTATTGAGGGGTCGAATTTGGATAGGGTAAGGTAAGGGATAGGGTGTATAGGATGCCCAAGAGAACCAAAATCTGAGGACAACTTCCTGAACTATTCACAAGCTTCTCTTCTTTGATGCAGTCTCTGTTGGAGTGCTACCCAGCAGCTCCTAGTTGTACCACCCCAGACCCTAGATGAACTCCTCTTCACCCAGCAATATGGAGACTTTCTTCCTGAGCAGGGGATCTGACTCCTGTTCCTTTAACTTCTTGCCGACCGCGCATAGCCGAATGACGGCTTCACCGCGGCCGGCCAGTTCTGAGTGGACGTCATATGACGTCCTCCCAGAACGCGCTCTCCTGCGCGCCCCAGGGGGCGCGCACCCGGCGATCTCCGTGATCACTGTGTCCTACGGACACAGCTGATCACGTGATGTGGTGAAAGGCCGATCCCACCGGCCTTTTACCACGTGATCAGCGGTGTCCAAAGACACGCTGATCACAGGGAAATGCAAGTGCCGGTTCTCGGCTGCACTTTCCTCACGCTGTCAGATCGTGAGGAAAGTACTGCCGAGAACCGGCAGTTGTCAGAGCGGGGATCGGCACCGATCATCAGGGCACTGATGATCAGTGCCCTGATGATCGGTGCCCAGCAGTGACACCCGCAAGTTCCGCCCAGCAGTGCGCCCACTAGCCCCCCCACCCGTTCCCAGCAGTGCCCCCACCCGTGCCCAGCAGTGCCCCCACCTGTGCCACTCTGCAGTGCCACCTACCTGTGCCCAGCAGTGCCACCCACCTGTGCCCACCCACCAGTGCCACCCACCAGTGCCCACCAGTGCCACCCACCTGTGCCCACCCACCAGTGCTGCCCACCAGTGCAGCCCAGCAGTGCTGCCAGTCAGTGCCACCAGTCAGTGCCCAGGGGTTGTGCCAGTCAGTGCCCAGTCAGTGCCCAGAAGTGATGCCAGTCAGTGCCGTCTATCAGTACCCATCATCAGTGTCACCTATCAGTGCCGCCTATCAGTGCTGCATATCAGTGCCGCCTATCCGTGACCCCTATTTAGTGCTGTCTATCAGTGCCGCCTATCCGTGCCACCTCATTAGTACTGCCTATCAGTGCCCTTTAGTGCTGCCTATCAGTGCCCATCAGTGCCGCCTCATCAACGCAAATCAGTGAAGGAGAAAAAATACCTGTTTGAAAAATTTTATAAAAGAAACAAATAAACTTTTTTTTTTTTTTTTTTTCAAATTTTTTGCACTTTTTTTTAATTTATAGCGCAAAAAGTAAAGCGCCCAGTGGCGATTAAATACCACCAAAAGAAAGCTCTATTTGTGAGAAAAAAATGATCAAAATTTCATATGGGTACAATGTTGCATGACCGCGCAATTGTCAAAGTGCGGCAGCGCTGAAAGCTGAAAATTGGCCTGGTAAGGAAGGGGGTATAAGTGCCTGGTAGGCAAGTGGTTAAATAAGGTGCACAGTCACTAGCAGAGAGCTAATCTGATTTCCCACCAAAGTGATCCTTCCCCTACTCACCCATAGGGAGCAGGTGTACTCACTCAGATCTTCTCCTGTACCGCTTGCGGGATGGCTGTTGCTACTAGGCTATAAGCTCGGCTGCTCCATCCCTGCCATACAGGTGGTTCTCACTAAGGAGGCCCGTGAGTCCGAAGTTTTCCTCCTTTCCAGCTCCAGGCTCACAAGCAGGCCCCATCACACAAGGCCTCCTGGTAGCCTTCCTCCTCCAGCCTCACATCTTCCCGCTCCACACTCCTCTCCCGCCACTGAGCAGGCTTTTCCATTTTAAGAGGGTCCTAGTCCCATTGCCAAGCCTTTTGTTGGGGATTGGCTGAGGTTCCTCATGAGTGTAGCCAGCCACTCCTCAGATCCACCAACTGCCTCCAAGGTCCTCCTCCGAAAGCCTCAGAGCAGGAGGCAATTCCAGAGGGGCTGGCCTGCAGAGTCTCTCAGCCCTGACCAGAATTTGACCCCCCTGGCTATCTCACCTGAGTAGCTAATCAGCTCTGAACTAACCATTTAGGATCTAGGAAAAAAAAACAAACAAAACAAAAAAAACTGAAGTTCTGCCTGTCGTAGTAAAATGCCAGGACAGTACATACGCCCCAAAATTGTTTAGGATGTAGTGTATACAGTGCAGCAGAATGAGGGGGTCAAGACAAGGTAATGCACAAATTAGCTTGCAGATTTCAGTGGTCACCTTATGGTGGTACCTGGTAGTGAGTGCCTCTTTAAATACTGGTAGTCAATGATGCGTGCCCCCTGAAATGGTGGTAATGAATGATGATTGCCCCATAACGGTTTGTGGTCAGTGATGCTTTTGTCCCCATAGCACGGATCGCCAGTGTGCTCCTTTGTGATTAATCTGCTCCCTTGCTGCTGTGTGTCCTCTTGATGGTCAATGTGCCCCCTTTGTGATTAGTGAGCCCTTTTTTTATTGGTGGTCAGTGGGAGCAGTTACTTACAAAGGAAGTTGCAATCAGCAGCAGAGGCAGAAGGTGAGGCTGTGTTTACGTTTGTTTACATGTGTAAATGCAGTGACTGGTTCACACAGATCGCAAGGCACAAAGCTACTCTGCCTTAGTCTGTGTATTTTGCCTTGGATCAGCGCTGTCTGACAGCTTGATCACAGGAATTCAAAGGGTCCATTGGCCATCTATGTTTTCTATTGAGTTTGATAACCTGTAATTTTTTTTTTTTAAACCATGGCATGATATTAAGGTGGTAAAACTATATGGTGATTGTTCAAGAAAATAGCAAGTCAAGTCTTACCTGTACTTCCTTTTCTTCACATCTCTTGTAAGTGGTTTCTTTGTATGTGCTTTGTCTTCCATCATCCATTGTGGTAGGACCCTTTTTTTTGCCTTGGACTCGTTGCCTTCCATTACACTAGGGCATTCACATATAACGATATTCAATGATTTGCAGTCCGTTACACTGCAAGTAATAAAGATGTACGCCATAAATAGATGACATTTAGCTTGCTAAAAAAAACTGTGTATCATAAACCATTATTTTTTTTTATATAAAAATACCATTTTCACCTTCTTCAAAAGATTAAAAAACGGTTTTATTTATGTTACCCCTCCTTACTGCAAATCCATTGAGGATGCTTCTTTTTATCACGCTAACAGTTGCACACTGACATCATTGCCATACGAATCAAGACCAGTAGTGCCGCACTGTAAGAACACCAAAGGCTCTCTCTCAACCCAGGTAATGGAGAGAATAAGAGAGCTTTAGCTGCCAGTGGGAACAAGGGATGAAGTATTACAACTTATTCATCATCCGTTAGACTTCTTATTACTGTTTACAGGATTTATATAGCGCCAACAGTTTTCGCAGCACATTACAATATAAAGGGAGACAGTACAGTCATTGGACCTTACAATCTAATAGGGTGAGGCAAGTGCTACAAAAGGTAATAACTGTGAGGGATGAGCGGACGGAAAAATTAAAAGTATAGTTGTCAGTTGGAGGTGGGATAGGCTTCCAGAAGAGAAGTTTTCAGATTGCCTAAAGGTGGACAAGGGAGTAGGAGATAGGTGGACAGATTAAGGTAGAGAGTTCCAGAAGATGGGAAAGGCTTGGATGAAGTCCTGAAGACTAGCAGGAGAGAAGATGATAGTTCGAGATCTGGAGGTCTTGGGAGGAGCAGAGAGGACAGTTTTGGAGATATTTTGTGACAAGACTGGTGATGTAGCTCAGGGTAGAGTTGTGATTGGCTTTGTATGATGTTGTTAGTATTTTGAATTTAAGCCGTGGGCAATCAGAAGTCAGGGGAGGGATTTGCAGAGGAATGGCACACACTGAGTGGTTAGTAAAGTAAAGGAGTATGGCAGCAGCATTCATGATTGAAGGGGTGGGGTAGCCTGCGTACAGGTAGGCCTTCAAGACGGGAGTTAAAATAGTCAAGACAAGAAATAACAAGGGAGAGAATGAGTAGCTTGGTGCTTTCATTAGTTAAAAAGGAGTGACTTTTTTTTTTCAGATATTACGGAAGTGAAGTCTACAAGCTTTTGACAGTTAGTGGATTAGGGGCTGTAAGGATAGGTCAGAACAGCATTAGATCTGGTACCCTGGCATGAGGGGAGGGACTGATAGTTGTATTATTGATCTAGATGGAAAAGTCAGGGAGGTGGGAATGCTGGTTTTAGAGAGATTTAGTTTGAGGAAATGGTGTGACATCCATACCGATACGTCAGTAATGCAAGAGGAGACTGAAGGAGTGAAGTGATGAGTAGAGAGATAGATTGGATGTCATCGGCGTATAGATGGTATTGAAAGCCATGTGAGGCTATCAAGTGACCAAAAGAGAAGGTATAGAGAAGAGAAGGGGTCCAAGTACAGAGCCTTGGGGGACCCCTACAGAAAAGGGAAGTGGAGAGGAGACAGATTCTTAGGTAACACTGAAAAACTGCTGTGATAGATAACAGAACCAGGAAAGAGCAGAATCTTGGAAACCAAGGGAGTGGAGTTTATAGAGGAGGAGCCACAGAAAGATGCTTAAGTAGTAAGAGTTAAATGAAATTAAACTTAAAATTGTTAAAACCTCTGACAGGTAGGGTTTCTGACAGAAAAGAACCTAGTGATTTCTTCTATTATAAATGCTTCTCTCTGCCTGTAAGCTGCTAATGTTACACTAAGCCATGCATTGGCAGCTCAGAGAACATTTGCAGCATCACTCTGTGCCGTGACAAATGTGGACTCCTGTCTGTATGCATGTTTATGTCGGAGTGGACATCATTGCTACCTGGCTAATCAATCAGTTAAACAGGAGTGAACCTGGAAGGAAGGACTGGGAGGAGGTGGAAGCACCCAGGACCGCAGGAGCACTGAGGGCTTGATTTCTCAGGCAAGTCAAACTTATGGCACATTATGGCATATTCCCCCCCTGGGGTGACCTTCTTTAAAAAAACATATGTATATTATAGTGCAGTGTAATTCCGTTTTACCAAGCATTTAGCTACTGGGAAGGAAAACTGACTGGAAGAGTAACTTTTGATTAAAGAGGAAAACTTTACCCCTTTTTCCTTTTCAATCCCTGCTTACCTTTATCATCTGGGTTATGTTCAATAAACATTCTTACACTCCAGAGAATCCAGCTTTGTTCTACTGCGATCCACCACTGCACGTGGCTGGGTCCTGTGCCACCAATCTTCATCTCTGACATCATTGGGAATCGGCTGTCTGTTCTGCGTTCCTGCAGCTGCCCTCCTGATGACGTGTGTGAGTGTGAGGTCCTTCCTCCAATCACTGTTCACTGTGCAACCTTGTTTCTACAGGATTGCTGGGATATGTGATGTGGATAGAAAGCATCAAGAGCCCTGGTGAATATAGTGGCAGGGGAAGTATGTCTATGAACGAAAAAAGGAAAGTGAACACACACCAAAAAAGTCAGGTTTTTTTTATTTTTTTAAGCCCATCTGTGGGAAATCTGAAAGTTCTCCCTTACTGCGCCCGCACTGCGATAAAACAGTTTGTTTAGGTCTAGGAGAGTGAAAAAACACTCCATCCTCTGCTTCCACGGTGGACTGTCCTCACTGTCCAGTACAGAACTATGGACCCTACATCTGCTTGATGACATCAGAGGATCTTAGCGTAGGGGAGAAGATGCTGTGGAGACAGGCCTAAGTAGTGAGGAAGAGCGCAGGATCATAAGTAAATAAAGTTAAGATTTTCTATGCCCTCTAGAATTAAATGAGCAGTTAACCCTTGCAAACCCACTGCAAGAGATCATTTTTCAAATTTCCTGTAGTTGGGCTTTAAGCTGGAAAATACAGTAAGCAGTACTTTGTAAGAAAAAATTTTCTCATTCATCTTTCTAATTGGTGTCAAATTGATGTTTTTATTTTGACCACAGTGATTAGAAAATTGGAGGAACGGGATAGAAAATTCACTCCAAAATCAAAAATGTTAAAAAGAGCTCCCAGTACCCCCCCCCCCCCCCCCCAAAAAAAATAAAAAATTAAAAGTCAGCTACAAATATAGTAGCTACTGACTTTTAATAAAAGGACACTTAGCTGTCCAAGGATCCAGCAATGGTGCCGCATCTTAGGTAAGGGAAAAAATGGCAGTGAAGCATTGCGGCCTCACAGCCGGTTTCCTACTGCGCATGCACAAGCTTGCACTTTGTAAATGGTCCCGCAGTCTTCTGGGACCTGTGATGTGTCCCAGAAGGCTGCTGAGGGAAGGAGGAGGGGTTGAAAAATCTGTTCAGATCAACACAGCAATCTGACCGGAAGTGGGAACCAGTCAAAACCAGGTACCTGCTCCACCCAAAAAAATTTCCAAACACAGCAGTGGAGGAATGCAAACAAGCAGAACTTCCCCTTTAAGGTGAAGTTCCGCTTTAAAGTATTACTAAAGACAAAACTTGTTTTTAAATTTGGATAGAGTGGTGAGAGACTGATTCACCTGTCAAGTTTTTATTGATGTCTGTGTCCCCCATTAGGGAGATGATTCACCCTCTCTATTTGTCCTTTTTACAATTATCGAAAGTAAAAGTAAGGCCTTGTGCATAGTGGAACGTTTTTCTGCTAGCAGTAGAAAATCGTATGTAAACATGGTACTACATTTATTCATTTCAATGGCCAGAGTGCTTGCCACTGAAATAACGTTTTTATTGCGTTTAGCGATTTTTGGACAAAACGTTCCTCTCCTGAGTGCTGAAGAATCGTTTCACTGGCCCTAAACATTGCTGCTGTTAAACTCTGATAAAAAGTCTATGTGTGCATGGACACGCAGGCCTTTATTGAGTTGTGTTCAGGGGGCTTTGGCAAAAAAAACCCAAAAAAAAAACAAAAGCTCTTGAACTCACGTTTATGAGCAGCAATGTACATGATGCCTAAAAGTTCATAAATTTTGTGTTGTCCCCAGAACAGTAGAAGGAAAATCTTCCAAAGAGGACACTAGTTCTGGTGACAACCAGGGATTCCCTCGCTTTGGAGGGATTTCCTCTCACAGGACAGGAGTTGAAGAGAAATTTCCACAATGGAATACGGATGACAAAACCAAAAAATGACAGGGGTTATAACCCTCCCTTACACTATCCAAAATGAAAAAACGTCATTTAATTCTACTTTAACCACTTGGCAACTGCGCTATAGCCGAATGACGACTACAGCGCGGTTGTCCAGTTCTAGGTGGGCGTCCTCTCAGAACGCGCCCCCCGCGCACACGGCGATCTCCGTGATTGCTGTGTCCGTAAACACAGCTGATCACATGATGTGGTAAAAAGGCTAATCACAGCGGTGTCTTTTACCATGTGATCAGCTGTGTCCAATGACACAGCAGATCACCGGGTGAATGCGGTTGTTGGCTGCACTTTCCTCACGCTGTTACAGCATGAGGAAAGTACTACTACCGACAATGGGTAATTGTCAGAAAACCGATTGGCACTCATCATCAGGGCACTGATGATCAGTGCCCCCCACAAGTGCCAAGCAGTGCCTCCCACCTGTGCCCAGCAGTGTCACCAGTCAGTGCTGCCTATCAGTGCAGCCCCATCAATGCATATCAGTGAAGGAGAAAAAATTACCTGTTTTGCAAAATGTTATAATAGAAACAAAGAAAAACATTTTTTTCCCAATTTGTTGCTCTTGTTTATAGCGCAAAAAATAAAACACCCAGCAGCGAATAAATACCACCAAAAGAAAGCTCTATTTTGTGTGAAAAAAAATTATAAAAATTTCATATGGGTACAGTGTTGCATGACCGCCGCGCAATTGTCACCCAAAATGCAACAGAGCTGAAAGCTGAAAATTGGCCTGTGCACGAAGGGGGGTATAAGTGCCCTGTAGGTAAGTGGTTAAAAAGCAAATGTTTCTGATGTAAA